GAGCCCAAATAACAAAGGTAAAACCCAAGCAAATTCAGAAAACTTAAAAACCAAATAAATCGACTAATTAATGATCACAAACATGCGGGGAACTAATTAAGCTAATAAATTAAGCTAAGTGACCAAATCAAAAGTTCTAACAGGACAATTAATAGAACTAGGCAAATCAGAAAACAAATTAAAATAGAGGAAAAGAACAAAGGTGACACATAGACGATTTTGAAAACAAAAATGAACAGGACTTACTAGCTAAACTTGAAATCAAAACTGAGGCACTGATTCGACCCAAAATAGTGGCAAACGTTTGTTCTTGGTGAAGAGCAAACGAGTGACACTATTTTGTGCCAAAACCAACTTGAAACAATCGAAAAATTCCTAAAATGACTTGCATGCATGATTCCGACTTTAGGCTCTTAGGGCTCGACTCTTCGATTTGATATTCGAGGAGCTCCAGAGATGTTTGAAGGAATCTGAGCGAGGATTTGGAATGAGGGAGAGAAAACGGTCTTAGGGTGTTTATTTGGGGACAATTAGAGATGGCGCCGCCACCAGAGAAAACAAGGGTGGCGCTAGGGTTTCTCCTTTGAACCTATATTCGAGACGTTCCAGGGTGATTTGAAAGAAAAGAGTGACAGATTTAGGATGAGTAAGGCTTGGGGGTTCTTTGGTGTTAATCTGGGGTCGATTGGCGGTGGCGCTGCCACCCTCAGGCGGTGGGATTTCAGGGCGGCTGCTAGGATTTTTGAGTGGTTTCTGAAGAGGGTGTGAGATAAGAGGGACGGGTTTGAGATGGGGGGTCGGCTTAGGACAATTATATATTAACCAGACCCCAGTTCTGGACCGTTAGATCAAAAGAGATCAACGGTCCTGGTCAAAAGGCCATTAAAACGGGGTCGTTTAAATCATGCGGGGATTGGACCGGGTTGGGGCAGATATTGGGCTAACTAGACGGGTATCTGAAAGGGGAAAACTGGTTTGGGTTTGGGTAAATTTTGAAAGACTTGGGCCCAGACCTGATCTCCTCAATTCCTTTCCAATTTCTTTTTTTATTTTCAAATTCTTTTAATTAATTCTAAAAAAAATAAAAACCTAAATGAAAATCTTAAAACTAGATTATCCTACCAAATTAAATTAATTAACTGAAAATAATAATTACCACAACTAATTAAATACCAAATTATAGAAAACTACCAAAATTCGAATCTAAAATTAAAAAATGCAAAAATGAGTTAGTTTTTGTGATTTTTCCGTTTTTGTAAAACATCAATTTACTAATTAATCTCAAAAAATGTAAAACTAATTCCTAAATGCAATGTGTGATATTTTTGCTATTTTTTATGGTTTAAATAAAATTAAATATGCATAGAAAAATGCAAACAAACACTAAAATCGAGCAATTAATTCCTAAAAACCAAATAATAAAAGAAAAAAATCCTAATTTTGGGGATCCTGTAGGAGTAATTCATGCGAGGCAAAAATCACGTGCTCACAGAGATCCATGAGGGAACCTGCGGAAATCATTACGGTGCTAATTCTTTAATTCGAAAAATAATCAGGGCAGGCTACTATTGGGACAGCATGGAGAAGGACACCAAAGAGTTCGTCAGCAAATGCGACAGATCCCAAAGATTCGCCCCAATTATCCACCAACCTGGTGAACAACTACATTCAGTTTTGTCTCCATGGCCATTCATGAAATGGGGGATGGACATCGTCGGACCTCTACTAACAGCGCCAGGTAAAGCTATATTTATTTTATTTATGACTGACTACTTCTCGAAATGGGTTGAAGCACAGGCCTTCGAAAAAATAAGGGAAAAAGAAGTCATTAATCTCATCTGGGACCACATCATATGCCGATTCGGAATTCTTTCCGAGATAACGTGTGATAACTAGAAGCAATTCATCGGAAGCAAAGTGAGTTAGTTCCTTGAGGATCAAAAGATTAAACAGATCCTGTCAACACCCTATCACCCGTGTGCAAACGGCCAAGCCATGTCCACAAACAAAACCATCATTCAAAACTTAAAGAAGAAGCTGCAAGGCGCAAAGGGAAGATGGAGAGAAATATTGCCCGAAGTACTCTGGGCATATCGAAAAACTCCAAAATCAAGCATGGGGGAAATGCCTTTCTCCCTGGTATATGACGTTGAGGCTTTGATAACGTTCGAGGTCGGAGCACCTACCACCAGAATCTGACACACCACAGAGAGCTTGAATAATGAGGCCATGGCTACTGCTCTCGAATTATTGGATGAAAATCGAGAAGCCTTGCTGGTCTGAATAGCCGCACAAAAATAGAGGATCAAAAGATACTACAATAGGAGAACAAATCTCTGACATTTTAGAATCGGGGACTTAGTTCTAAGGAAGGTCACCTTGAATACTCGAAATCCTATTGAAGAAAAGCTAGGCCAGAACTATGAAGGACCGTACCGCGTCCTCGGGATAGTTGGCAAAGGATCCTACAAACTCGGCCCCATGGAAGGCGAACAGTTTCCAAGCAATTGGAATGTATCAATGCTTCAACGTTATTACTGCTAAAAACTCAAAGGCCTTAGATTTCAATAGAATGCGTTGCACTCCTTTCATTTGATCGAGTTTTTATCCCAAGAAGGGTTTTTACCGGCAAGGTATTTAACGAGGCAACATCTATATGCTACCTAAGGAAGACTCAACAAGTATTCAAGACTTCTTTTCAATCAGCCTCGAATACTAGGGGGCATTCCCCCTGGAAGGGCACCTCCTCGGAGAAGCCAAGATGTGCTAAACGGGGTCTCGATAGAAAAATAATATATCGGGCCAAATGGTCGAATGAACCATGTTCGTATAGAATAACCGAGCCCTTAACAACAAAAATGGGTATACTTGTACCAAGTAATCAAAGAACACTTTCCCCTTCATCAGAGTATTTCGTGTTTCAATGAAGCTCGGTATTTTATGCAAAAATGGCTCCAGAGCCAATAAATGTCCAGAACTCGAGGACTGGCACCAACAACTCGAAACCATACGACGTCTAGGTCAGAGCTTCAAACTCATAAGCCCTCGATAAGGAAACATCAAGTTCACAAAACGTCCCTAGAGCCAAAAAATGTCTCAAACACTCGGGGATTGGCATCAACAACTCGAAACCATACGACCTCCGAGTCGGAGCTTCAAACTCATAATCCCTTAATGAGGTAACATCAAGTTCACAAAACGGCCCAGAGCCAAAAAATGTCCCGAGCATTCGAGGACTGGCGTCAGAAACTCGAGGCCGCATGACCTCTAGGTCGGAAGATTAGAACTCGTAAGCCTTCGATGAGGCAATACCAAGTTTACAAGGAATGGTTCTCGAGCCAAGAAACTTGGTATTGCCTCATTGCCAACCCCATCAACTTATCAAAAAACCCGAGGCCATAAGACCCCCTGTGGGTAGCCTCGGTCTCGTAAGACCTATATAAGGCAACAACAATATCTGTAAGACCTCAAGCAAGGCATGAACCACGCTTGTACCAAATGACCAAAACTCTAAGACCTCAAGCAAGGCATCATCATACTTGTACCAAGTAACCAAATTTGTAAGACCTCAAAGGCATGTAAAAATTTGTAAGCCCTTACAAAAGGCATAATCCCTATCTTAAAGTTAAGGCTATATATCAAACTTGCAAGATCCCTAGAAAGGCATACCCTCGATACAGATACTGAAACTACTTCATTCGGGGACTGAAAGGCTCCGACCAAACACAATGACTACGGCCACAAGGCTTTACCAGCCAAACTAACGTGACTCGAGGATGCCCGACTGTCGCTATAAAATCACATGCCTTCAATTACTTCGAAAATACTTCGAAAAGAACAGATTAAACAAGCTACCCTCGACATAGGTAAAAGAGCTTCATCTCCAAACTATAGGCTTCGAGATACTCAGCCACCGAGCCGAACCTCCCGAGGTGCTCGATCATCGCCATATAACGACTCACAATTGAGGTTCCTATCGAACCCTCAAAGAGTCAGGAAATCACAATTTCAAAAAGTCCTTAGCGAGGGAAAAATAAAGCCTACTAGAGGTCGTAGCGACCCAATGCATAAGAGTCACTGTCGCCAGCCCGTACTAGAGGTCGTACCGACCCAATGCGTAAGAGCCACTATCGCCAGCCCACATAAGAGGTCATATCGACCCAATGCGTAAGAGCCACTATTGTCAGCCCATATAAGAGGTCGTACCAACCCAATGCGTAAGAGCCACTGCCGCCAGACCATACTAGAGGTCGTACTGACCCAAGGCGTAAGAGCCACTGCCGCCAGCCCGTACTAGAGGTCGTACCGACCCAATGCGTAAGAGCCACTATCGCCAGCCCATATAAGAGGTCATATCGACCCATTGCATAAGAGCCACTGTCGCCAGCCCATATAAGAGGTCATACCGACCCTGCAGACATATAATTTTTGACCCTCTCCAAGATTTTACACATTTTAGTGTTAAATAGTTAGTTTAGGTCTAATATCGATATTTTAACTAGTTTTGACCATTTACTTTATTTTATCACAAAAATAAAAATTACAAAAATATTTTTTTTATTTAGCTAATTAATATTTTATCTAGTTACTTTTAATTTATCTACCTTACATAAAATTCAAAAATACAAAAATAGTTCCACTTTATTTTCAAGAATATTATTTTAATTTTGCAATAATTTTAATCTAATTCCATTTTTATCTTTTAGTATGACATTTAAAAAATACCAAAGATAGTTTTCTTTTAATGGTTAGTTTTATTTTAATAGTTATTTCTTAAGTAAGATTAATTAGTATTTTTAATAGTTTATCTTGTTTTCTAAATTATTTTTACATAGAAAAAGGGAGGAGGGAATAGAATTTATTTTTGGACTAATTTTTGTCTTGCTTTTAGCCCAATTAGGCAAATTTCCTTAGCCCATTAACCCAAAGCCCAAACCTAGACACCCCTACAGCATAAGACACATTAGATCTAACCTAAAGAAAAAAACCTAGTATACAATTTGGGGACAACCGAAAAATACCAAAAAATGACTCCTCCTCCATTTCATTCTCTACCAATAGTCAACTATTTTCACCGTTAGCTGCATTTTGTTCCAATATCTCATGCCATCATCCTTTAATTTCGATTTAGGGTTTCATGAAAAAATTTCAGTTTCTCAGAAGCTTCTCGAAGAACCTCGATCTCTTTATCGATAAGTTGATTTTTTTTTCTTTGATCGAAAATGTTTGCTACGTACTTTCGTCTATATAGTGGCTATGTATGTAATTTTTCATATCCAGAAGCTCAAAACCTAGCAATCGATTGATCCGATTCAGCTTTTGTGCATCTCTTGATTTTGGGTTTCATGAAATGTTTCATTTTGTTGGGAGATTCTTGAACATCGATTCAAAAAATTTATTATATATTTTGGTCTAAATAGTAGCTACATGAGTAATTGTTGCTCAAAAGTATATGCCTAGAAGCTCAAAATCTCGTAAATGATTAGCTTTCAGCTTTTGTAGTTATGAATATTGTATTTTTTGCTTGTAGTGTAATGTTGTAGCAATTCTGTTGTATATGATAGTAATAACTAACTAGAAAATCAAGCACCAGAAGAAGAAGAAGAGATCAAAAGCTTCTAAACAAGGCAATGTTGTTAATGGTTCTGATAATAGCAAAGTAGGGGAGAGTAGTGTTTTAAAGGTTTTAACAGATTAGCTCTGTATCTGTAGAGGAAGATGAATGTTCTTATAAAGAGGCAAATGGAAACTTGAATAAAGCGATGAATATTCTGAGTGATTTGGTAGAGCGTGAGGAAGAGGACAAGATCATGAGCTGCTCAAGCTCGAGTGGGAATGTCAGTTCGAGCTTGGATTCGAGTAAAAACTCAGACATGTTTGTTAGGAGTTAATCGTTGCAGAATTCGGCTCAGCGCAAGGCTAATACAAAGAAATTGGTAGCTGCTGCAGGAACAATCTCAGCGATGATAGGGAAGGATTACGTGAGGTCAACCCTTTCATCCTCTATTTGTTTTATTCAAGCTTAATGTTAATTAGTTGTTTGGTGATGTGATCTTGTTGTTTTTGTAAGTCCGTGATTTTGAATTTGCTTGCTCGGTTATCTGCTCGTGTTCACTCGAATAGGTTATAGCTGAAATTATCCTAGTTTGAACTTGTTACCACCAGTTTCTAATGAATATCGTAATTTGCTTTGGGTGTGTTTATAATAAATCATCATGGCTATGGGTACGGTTCCCGTGACGTAGTTGCGATGTATCATTTCTAAATTCGGGTGTACATTTCATGTGACCTGAGTTCAATTTCCAATAATGTTAAATAAAAATAAATATGTCGTAAACCGCGGGTGCATTTCATGTAGCATGGTTTACGATGTGTTTTTTTAGAAAAAAAACAAGCAATTGTATGACAATCTTGAATTTTCCTAAAAACATTAAAAAGCGGTTTGAAAGTTAAAAATGCACAATAGGTTTAAATATGTAATTAACCAGATAATTAGGCCAATAATAATAGCTGAGCGACCGTTCTCAAACCACGGAACCCGGAAATACCTAACACCTTCTCCCGGATTAACAGAATTCCTTACCCGGATTTATGTGTTTCGCGGACTGTAAAACAGAGTCAAACCTTCCTCGATTCGGGATTTTAAACTGGTGACTTGGGAGACCATAAATTATTCCAAGTGGAGACTCTGAATTTGATAAATAATCTCGTTTCAATTATTGTCACTTTAATTGGAAAAACTCCCCTATACCCCTCCGGGTGCAAAAAAGGAGGTGTGACAGCTCTGGCGACTCTGCTAGGGAAAAAACCCCAGAACTTCTAGTTCAAGGTTTAGAATTCGAGCTTAGAATAATTGTTATAGTTGACTTTTATTTATTATCTGATTTTTATGTGTTTGAGCCTAATGTGCTAAATGTTGCCTTTTACCGCTTTAATATTGCTTGAACTGTATATAAACTATTACGAAACCCTCTTCTCTCTGAGTCTTCTAAATCATCTGGGAAGTGTGCACTTCGTGTGATTCTTTTCTATTAGAGTCATATCCCAATTTTAGAACGAGGTTCAAACAAGTTGTAAAGCCGGTGAAGCTTCTGTATTCCCGGTACGCTGCCCCCTCGGTTAGAGCTATCCTCTCGGGTAAGCCAGGTCTAGAACAAATATGCTTAGGTTTTAAAACCTAGAATAACATAACTCCATGTCGGATCCCTAGTAGGAACATTTGTTTGCATCACGTGCATTTGACTTAGGGGACTCAACACAGGGGATGGGTCCGTCTAGGACAAGTGTACCCAAAAATAAAAGACCATCCTGATGCATCCTAATATGCTACATGTTGCCATCTTCAAGGGTAAAAGGGGTCATTCGGCGGACCAATGAGGTTTGAGGATAAATAAGAAAAAAAGAGGGTGAAGTGTAAAAAATAAAGCAATTAGAGCCCAGTTATGTTTTTCTTTCACATTTTTTTTAAGAAAAAGACAAAAAAAACATGAAAAATCCAAAAAAACGTTTTGCACTTTTCCATCAGTTTTCAAAAAGAAAATAAAAAAATAGGAAAAAGAAAATCTAAAAAGAGTTTACATGTTTCATCATTTTTCAAAACAAAAAAAAAGAAAAAAAATATATTTTCTCTAAATTAGTTTTTTTTATTCTCGCCCGTATCCAATCTTCCCGGACTATGCAAACCTAATTCTCGTCTTTTGTGGCATGATACGTAGGCAACCCACATAGGGTCCGGTCTTCCTAGTAAATCTTATGTTCTTGGCTTTGCGGGGTCTTAGCTAAATTTTGCACTTCTAGCCACCTTTTAGCCACATAAGCAATTTTAGAAAAATAGTCACAATTATGTCTTGCATGTATCCAATAAGAAGGGTTATTGTCTCACATAGCGTTCTAGGTCTTTAACTTTATTTGGTCTTAATTTTCTCATACAGGTGTGAATTTACTTACCGGAGATTGAGCATGACAGACACCCCAGGATCATCCAGTCAGGACCGCTGCATCCAGGAGTTGCTTAAGGAGATTTCTTATGTTTTGAGTCTATTTCTTTTTATGTTGTCTTGTACTTTATAGTCATGTCCAGTAGTAATGATTCTTTTAGTTGGTGTCGGAGTTTGTCGTAGTATAGTTGAGTTGAGTCTCTCGTTATCATATTTCCTATTTTGTATTTGAAAATAAAAAAAAGTTGTAATGAATAATCCAAAAAGATTTTTATTTTTTTAGTTTAATTTATCCATTACTTTTCCGAACTACACAAAGATCCGATTCATGCAGCGAGATGATACGTAGGTAACCTACATATGGTTCGATCGAATCATTTTTCGTAAGTTAAAAGAAGAAGAAAAAAAAGGGAAAAAAAAAAGAAAAAAAGAGAGGTGAAATTGTGAGATATGAGAAATGAGAGGAAAGAAAAAAGTGATAATTAGAAGAAAAAAAAGGGAAGGAAAATGAGCAAGCCAAAAAGTGCTAGAAAAGAAAAAAAAGAGAATATTGAAATGAACAAAATTGGGATGATTCCAAGTGACCTTGTGACCCTCGAAGTCATTCTAGAACCATTAATTGTTGCTAGGTGCATTGCACGCAATGTGATATTTTTAGCTGTGAAATGCCCTAATGCTAACAGGATGACCCCATTTTGTTCCTTTTGTTATGTTCATTGAGCAGAAGGGTGGTTGGTTTGTGGTTCTTAAGTAACTCATCCATACAACACAGGGTCAAAGAGCATGGTAGCCATGGCTAGCAAAGACTTGGACCTATGGTTGTTGATTAGTCTAAGGGAATTGTTGAATCACTATCTGAGTTGAATGAAGAGGTCTTAAGGTTGAAAGGACAGATGGACGAAATATACCAAGCCTGGCTTAGCGGACGTCCTCTATCATTATTTCCCACTAACTACCCTGAAAGCCTTGTCACCATTCTGCCACTGTCACAAATCAAGATTCCCACTACTGCTGATATCTCCCCACAACCTTTTCACATTCCACCCCCAGAACCACCTCATATCCCGCTCCTTTGACCACTTATATTTTTGTAGCTCATCCACCAGCTACCTTTCCTCGATCCTCTAGCGAGACTGTGTTCAAATACCCCGATACCCCAACACTATGCTCTAGAACCAACTTTCAAGGTCTCGGATCCATACTCCCACGCTCCTCATTTTGAACCTCCCAGTGAAACTGAAAAGCCTGCTAAGATAGTGGCGCAATATGAGATATCCAGGAATGTCAAAATCTTAGAGCAGTCTTTAAGAAACATGAAAGGGATAGGGAGCTAGATGAGCATGTCTTACAAAGACTTGTGCTTGTTTCCTGACATCCAACTTCTTGCTGGGTATAAGATGCCAAAGTTAGATTTGTATGACGGACACGGAGATTCCGTAGCCCATTTGAGAGGCTACTGCAGTAAGATGAGAGGCGCCGATGGTAATGACAAATTATTGATGGCGTATTTCAGTCAAAGTTTTAGTAGGGAAGTCTTGGAGTGGTATACTCGTCAAGATATCAGTAAGTGGCATGCATGGGGTACATGGCTCAAGATTTTGTTCGGCACTATTACTACAATCTAGACATTTTCTCATACCGCTCCTCCCTGTCTAAGATGGAAAAGAAACCCGAGGGAAGTTTTGGGGAGTTTTGGTTCAGATGGAACGCACAAGTTTCTCGGGTCAGTCCTCCAATTGATAGAAAAGATATTGCTGAGCCTTGCCAACGATAGGATCCAGTGGGCATTCCTGCTAAATGCTTTAAGCCTCAATACCAACCCTATGAACATCCCCAAGCTCCACATAATCCACCCCAGTATTATCCTTCGAACAACATCCGGCCATATGTCCAACCATTAGGTCACTCCCTAGGGCAAGACCAGCATCCCAAAATTCTCATTCGCCTTCACAGCATTTTCGAGCATCCAACAACCCTAGAAAACTGGGGTATGCAGGGAAACAAAGGCAAAGAAATAGTTTCACGCCAATCGGAGAATCCTATACAAGCCTATTTAAAAAGTTAAAACACTCTGGCCTAATTGAGCCACTCCTCGGCTATACTCCGGGCCCATATGCAAAAGGTTTTGATCCTACTGTACGGTGCATGTACCACTCTAATGTCCAAGGTCATAACATTGAAGATTGTCGTGCTTTGAAAAAGGAAATAGAAAGAATAATTCAAGAAGGAATAATTTTGGTCCAAGGAAGCAATACCTCAAGTGTCACACATAATCCTCCACAGGTACATGACAACGAACAAATTGTTGGGATGGTTTGCAATAACTAAGGGTTTGTCGAAGGAGTCAATGAGCCACTTGGTGAAGACAATGTGATTGAAGTTGGTGAAGGTCCCAGTGATATTGATGTGGAACTCAGTGGCTAAGATGTCAAGCTTGGTAATTAGAAAGACACTCCTTTCTTGGCTAGCCAGGGGAGTCTTGGTGGTTCACTTTGTTGTCATTTCTGTTGTTCGAGTTATTTCAGGGTTGTAATCCGGATATTATCTTATGACTCAAACCCTTCTATCCTTTTATTTTTCCTAGTTCCTTTAGTCGTAGTAACTCATTTAGTGTTATCTATGTTAGTTCCAGGGTTGTACCCCAGTTTATTTTTCTTGTCTTGTTGTTCAAACCCTTTCACCGTCTGTCTAATGCAATTTTCTATTTTCTGTTTTCTCTAGTCATTTTTTTAGTTCTCTTTTCCTTTTATAGTTATTTTCATGCTGGCTCTATTGACATGACATGCACACATAATTTGAGGCCTAGTCTTAAAAGTTAGTTTAATCATGAAACAATGAAACAATTTTGAAGATGATAGGGACATTTGAGGGAAATAAGTATAGATTTGGACATTTTGAGATCATTTAAAGCCCGAACTATGTGAAACTGGGGCAGATAATTTGGGGAGTTAATAGAATGACAATAATTTGTTACAAGAGAGTGCATCTCAGATAATTTGAAGCGAGCAACTTTCAGTTCAAGTGCATCTCAAGTTACGAGATAAAGCCAAGGGATTTTGCTCCAAACAGATGGAGGTATCCATTGTGAAGAAGAAATCACCCAACGAGAGTTCTGTACTAGACAAGGCACTAAAGAAAAGTGTAAGGCATATCAGTGATTGTCGTGCCCCCTTTTTCCTCCACGAAATCGGGTTCATGATATTTTTGGTTGGGACAACTCTTTCCTTTTGGGAAGGGGTTCTTGTAATTTTGAAGAGTTGCCACCTAACGATTTAAGGTGTGCTACGACACCTATGGGGTTCATTTATAACTACGCTTTGGTAACCAGAGATAGGGTAAGAGCTTGAAATTATCCTAAGGGGAAGGTGTTAGGCACCCGTCAAGATCCACTAGTGTGGTTCCCGGCCAGACAGTTTTTGTGAATTTGTGCAATTAGCAAATAGACAAGTAGGGCTCAAATAATAGGGGATTTAAGTTCAAGTACACAAGTGTTTGAAAACAATTAACGAAAGGCAAAATTATGAAAAAAGAATTACAATCTAAAGCATGCTTATAATTGTAAAGGGGGTGTCCTAGGTTTGTATGTAATATGAATCACATCAATGCAATACCCGGTATGACACTCCTCAAAAGAGGGGCTACACGTGGTATTAGCGCACCGGTCATCATATCCATATCTACCCTTTCCCGCCCGTGAAAATAATTAAAGCGAGGGTTGGTCTCGACCCCTACTGCATGCTACTACCCGTCCCTTCCTATCAGTCCCAGAGGAATTTGAGACTATTATCCTATAAGGAGGAGGTTCTAGGCAGACCCTTAGGTTTAAAGGCAAATTACTAAGCGACAAACAAGAACATATAAGACTGCATTTAGGGGGAAAACACAAAAACAAGTAGAAGGCTCAGATATACCTCCACAAATAATGCACAAAGATAGCATGACTTATACACAATTATGGTTGTCACACCTACTTTTTCCGCGCCCGCGGGGGCGCAGGGGAGTTTTTTCCAATTAAAGGGCAATCGAAACGGGATTCGTTTAATTATTTCAGAGTCACCACTTGGGAGATTTAGGGTGTCCCGAGTCACCAATTTTAATCCCGAATCG